ACCCCAAGAAAAAAAAAAAAAAAAATAGTGTAATTACTTCCACTCCTAAGCGGCCCCATTGTAAACAAAATCACATTTGTTTTGCCTTTGTTCATTAGCTTGCGTTTCCTCTAATCAAGAAACAAGCCAAATATGTTACATTTCCTCAACTGCACACAAGGAAAAGCACAGTTTGTCCTGTCCTGATCTCTGTGATGTCATCGGTTCCCTCTCTAGCCTATCAGATCACATACCGCCTGAACTCCACCAATAGCAACACAGCCACGTTTGACGTCTTGAACTCCAGCGCACGGCAGTATACCGTCACCGGACTGAGGCCGGAATCCGTGTATGTGTTCCGTATCCGAGCGCAGACACGCAAGGGTTGGGGAGAGGCAGCGGAGGCTTTGGTGGTCACCACCGAAAAGAGAGGTAATGCATATTGTTGTCAACAAGTCAACAAGTCAAGCTCAAACTGAACATCACATCACAGTGTGTGACATTAAGCAAGAAATAAATGATAAACAGTTCAAATTAAACAGTAATAGCCATCCATGTGCCTTCCCCATCCATATGATCTCTTTGTCACAGGTTCATGTAATTAGATCTAAAGTGCATGTTTGTGTGTTCATGTCTCTGAATGGAGACGTCTATGGTCCACTGAGGTCAAGTTCAAAACAAATCAATCCCTTCTAGCCAGACCTGCTTTGGTGTGGTTTGAAACGTCTGGAGAAAGTTTTGCTGCACTGACTTCCACTCAAGCAAAGGCACATTCCTCTTACAGAGTATTATAATCAAACTTTAGATTATTTATCCAGTGCACTGATCCAGCGTAGATATCAGAGGTTTTGAGTTGTAAAGTGTTCTTATATAATGTAATATAAATTTCATAAATTCTCCATAATCTAATGTATTTTTTAAAATTGTAACAGTGTTCTGCAGGATTATAAGTGTGCAGTGAAGCATTGATAATATTGTATGGCTGCACATATAAAACCAGTGTTGGAATGATAATTTAAAGCTTGCTTCCCAGGCTACAAGTAAAATTGCTTACCAAAAGTATAGCTAAACTAAAAATTAAACTACATTGAAGCTTTTTAAATCACCATTTGCTATTGCTAGTCTCAGGGTAAGGGCACAATTACTTCCTAAAGATAACTTTATGGACAAAAATTTTAATATACCTTTGAGATGATTATTTTTTTTTCCATTTTCATGTATCAGATTATATAATTGAAATGTATGTCATTTAATTCCGCTTTCAGAGCACAAAAAAAAGATCTCTGTTAAAGTTAAAAGCAATATGTTTAAACAGATAAATTGCAATAAAAGTCAATACGCTGTATTAAATAAGAAAAGTCATAATGGCTTGATTAAAAACTTTTAAATATTTGGCTTTGTTTAAGGTTTTTAATGTGCTTATGCTTGACCTTTGACCTCCAGCTCGGCCCCAGCCCACCAGCCGTCCCACAGTCCCTCAGGAAAACGTACAGGCACGCAGCGTGCTGTTGTCATGGGAACCCGGCAGCGACGGTTTATCGCCGGTTCGGTATTACACGGTTCAGGTCAGAGAGCTGCCTGAGAAGAACTGGACGGTTCATTCTGCGTCTGTTAGCCACGAGTCCAGCTCCTATATTGTTGACAGGTACAAAAGACATCTGGTGGGAAGTTTTGTGTGATTTGACTTGAAAGTCCTTCATGCATAAAGTCACAGTACTTCACTGCACAGATTTTCCATCAACAAGTGACGATACTTGTAACTTTATACTGGCTTTACGCAAAGCATATTCCGAGCAGAAGCCTGTGTTTTGACTTGTGTGTGATTTTTATTATTTTTTTCAGACTGAAGCCCTTCACCTCCTATCAGTTCAGAGTGAAGGCCACTAATGATATTGGAGACAGTGACTACAGCGAAGAGAGTGAAGCCATTACAACACTACAGGACGGTTAGAACATTTAACACTTTCCTCTTCTTTCCACTTCTCTTGTACTCTTTATCAGTGTTTTATTGTGGACTGTACATCCAGCATTTCAAATGTTCTTACCTTGTGTCCAAGACTGCCCAAACTAGTCTTTAGTACGTCAGGCAAATGGTCTTCCAGCCTAATCAGCTGACAAGCGCCCCAAACCCCTCTAAAATCTGCAAACCAGACAAACCCGTGCAGGTTGGGAGAACCAGCTTACAGTAGGCTGCTTTAAACTGCCTTTTTCAGCAGTGTTATTATGGCCAAGATTGAAGTCAACATCTCATATGTTCTGTAAACAGTGTGGCAAACAACATTTTTGGGAGACGCTCAGTTAAATTATTTTAAAAATGAACAGATGAATTACTGCTTACAAACAAACGCTTAGCAGCATCATTTGGTTCTTCTGGCACACTGGAAAAGAGCTGTAATAAATTAGTGCTTTATTCGATTTGAGGATAAAAGTCTTGTTTGTGGGGTAAAAAAAAAAAACATTTCCAAAAGATAGATATAAATAGTTCAATATAATTTCAGTGGACTACAGTATTTCACCCAATATTTGTGTGTGCTATGTATCAGTAAGGTTTTTTTTTTTTTTTTTTGAGAGGAATTAATACTTTTATTTGGTGTGCATTAAACTGCATTAAAAGAAACCTAAACAAAAAAAGTATCAGTACCACAAAAAATGTAAGCAACATAGCCGATTTTTAACAATTATAATAAGAACTGTTTTTAGCACCAAGTCAACATATTAGAATGATTTCTGAAGGGTCATGTGACATTGAAGATTAGAGTGATAATGCTAAAAATTCAGCTTTGCCAACGCAGGAATTAATTACATTTTAAAATATATGAAAACAAATTTTGAATTGTAATAATATTTGACAATATTACTGTTTTCTCTGTATTTCTTTTTTATCAAATGAATGTAGCCTTGATGAGCATAAGAGACTTCTTTCAATATATATTTCCTGTATAGACAGTGTTGCAGCTCACTAGGTTTTGGAGCAGAGCCATATCCTTCTCTACATGGTCCCGCCTTCGTTTTTCTCTGAATATATACAGCCAAATCATTCTGTATGTGATGTGCGTTTCATGAATTGACCATTATATAGCACACAGATGCTATTCAGGCTGTATTACGAGAGCTTGACTTCACTGTCATGATAGCAGCCGAGCTCTTATTGTAAACCCAGGTGATGCTATTGTGTTCCAGCGATGATGTCATTGCTGGAGGCAGTAGAATAAGTGAGGTAATACAGTATCTCTGGTTGTTGTGAAGTAACTTTAGTGAAGTGAGACGGGCCATGCATAATGCCTGTTTAAAACCCGACACAACAAATCAGGCTGTAAGAAAGGCTTGGCATGTTTAGCAATGCAGTGTTTATGTAGCGTAAGACATTGTAGCTGATGCAGCAAAACATTCAAAGAGATGCCAGGTGCACAATTATCTTTCTGTCCCTCCCTCTCCATTTAATTGTATCTCTTGCTTTCTCCAGCTCCTGACGAATCTCCCACAATCCTAACTGTCACGCCACACACCACAACCTCTGTGCTGATATGCTGGCAGGTAAGTGGGAAGGGCTTTTCACTTATAGCACTTACATGCTTTTCCATCAGCGGTTTGTAATAACAGAGCAGGAGAGCACAGTATGTATCTAAAACACATATTCTCAAAGTCACTCATGAATTATCCTTTCAAAGAGGGCTGGTTTTAAAAGCCGCAGGCCTCTGGTTCACGTCTGTATCCATTCAGGTGGAAAAAAGGTGAGTGAACTGGTTCCTCCCCCAGAACCAGTTAATTCACGCTTTACTGTGGGGATTTTCCTGATTTGCTTATTAAACTTGAGCTTAGAATTAGCAAAAGCTTGGTTTATCCTTGCATTTATCCAGAGTATAAAGATGTCTTCCCTCCGGCTATTAGCAACATACATGTTTACACAACCTCCAATTGCATGTACTCAACATGACTCAATGCTAGATACAAATCAAATGGCAAAAGCTTAAAGGGGGCGGGACTGTCTTTTTTCTGACCAGTAGCAGAAGGAGCAATTCTGTTTGCTGACACCAGTGGCGCAGATATTCCGCACTTCACCTTTAATGACACTGTTGATTATGTGTGGTGACATTCGCTCAGCATGTCCTGTCGTCCTTAGCCCCCTCCTGAGGAGAAGATTAACGGGATCCTACTGGGCTTCCGAATCCGATATCGGGAGTTGCTTTACGATCGGCTCCGAAGTTTCAGCGCTCATGCTATCAGCAGTCCTTCAACCAGCTGGGCAGAACTCACATGTAAGCATAAGACATACAGTATCACTAGTGAAATGTCTCTCGATGTGTGCCCTAAGCGAGACATGACCCATAATTGATTCATAGCCCAAATCATACATATGTTTAAAAAAATGTAATAAACTATTAATATATAGATTAATCTTAATAATAATCAAATTTAAGAATAAAATATTCATACAAAATTAAAAATCTTCATTAATGGCCTTCATTTTATACTCAGTATGAACTATTTTAAAATATTTAAGCTCATTTATAACTCATTCTTGTTATATTAACTAATATTTTAATTGATTCACAGCCCAAAACAATAAATATATTTGAAAAATGTATTATAAAGTAAGGAAAATTAAATAAATGTTCAATTAATATTGATATTAATCAAAATTAAGAATGAAATGTTCATACAAAAATGAAATATCTTCATTAATGGCCCGTTTGTTCAAAAGTATCATTTTATTAAACCAAGCATAATTTTATATTCAGTATTAACTATTTTAAAATATTTAAGCTGGTTTCTCACTCTCATTATTTTTCTGGTCATATCTTCATTATTAATGTTCTCCTCTTCCTGCACTTCCTCTTCTGCAGCTCCATACAGCATACAGAATCTCAGCGATCCCTCCCTCACTCAGTATGAGCTGGACAGTAAGTCACTTCCTGTTTCTTCTTGCTATTTTTTCCTTTTTGTCTTTCCCAGTCCATAAAGCTGATATATGATTGTGTCTAATCTAGTACATGTCAAGCCTTACTTAAGAGTTGAGAATAGGCAGTCTAGATGTTTGGGCTAGCTGCTGTTCTCACCTCACGTCTAGAGTGCTAATGCATTTAAGAGCTGCATCTGGTTTCTCTCTGCCGTTGATCTCTGCTGGAAGAGCAGTGTGTAAACTGAGTTTAGATAAGCAGACTGACTCATCTTTCAGGATGGGAGCTGACACAGTTTCCAGGGAAAGCCTGAGTCAAAGTTAATGGAACAAAGATGGTTGAGAAAGTGGAACATTTAATATAAAGTGAATCGCATTGTTTGTCTGTTTTAGTTTAGTTTTTTTTGGAAGTAGATAAAACTTGTTGTAAAGTGCCAACCATGTATGAAAGAAAAAACTGCCATTTGTGATTTTTGCTCTTCTGTAGATCTTACGAAACACAAGCGCTATGAAATCAGAATGAGTGTCTATAATGCTGTTGGTGAGGGAGCAACTAGCTCACCACAGGAAGTCTTTGTTGGCGAAGCAGGTAAAAACCTTTATTACCTTTATGAAGTTGTTCTTAGCTTACAAACAAAAAGGAGCAAAACTTCACCTCACATCGATGTTCCCTCACAGTTCCCACTGCCCCACCTCAAAATGTGGTCATCCAATCAGCTACTGCCACACAATTTGATGTGACGTGGGACCCGCCTCCGTTGGAGACTCAGAATGGAGATATTCAGGGTTATAAGGTCAGACTCTGATGACTATGTGGAAAATGTTTTTAGTGTGACTCCCATGTACATTTTCTGTATGATGGTTATATGTTGACCTTCCATGACTCATGGGATTTTCTGAATTATTTAGACTGTTTACTATTACATTCAAACTAAATTCTTGTGCAATTTATGTGGAGAAATCGGTGTCAGTAATTTGCTCTGTAACTTGATAAAATCTATATGTGAAGGTCATTTTTAAAAAGTTGCAAAAATAAATGATGAGGCTTGGAAAATGTTTCCAAGACCTTTATAATGTGACCTTTTAAATAAGAAAGGAAATAAGTTTTTTTTTTTTTTTTAAATCAACCCCTGGGACATAAAAGTGCATGAAGCTAAAGAAACGCCTAAAACAGACATGCAAAACAATAATATGAGTGTGACCTTTTGTTTTATTCTTGCAGATTTTCTTTTGGGAATATCAGCGGAAAAACGAGACCGAGAAACTGAGGACTCTCTTCCTGCCAGAGGGAGGGGTGAAGCTCAAGAATCTAACGGGTTACACCACCTACATGATCAGTGTTGCTGCTTTCAATGCAGCCGGCGATGGGCCACGCAGCCTACCGACCAGAGGAAGAACCCAGCAAGCTGGTGAGGAAACTTTACAGTTAGTTCTGTCCTTACCTGTCTTGTCCAGGACCTTCATGCATATCACAATAGTTAACAAAAACGCTTGTTCCAGGTCATTTGCTAAGCATATGAAGTATTGGCATATGAAGTATTGGAAGACCACTCTAACTGCACTAGATAGATTTTAAAGCTGAATGCAGTCATTTTACTTTTAATAGCTATCTAAATTAACACAGGCATAAGACTGCAACTTATTTTACTGTAAACACATGGGGAGTCAATCAGAAGTTTGTAATGATGGAAACTATTTGAAATGATTTAATTATTTATGAGTCCAAGAACTTCTGGAATGTGAACCGCTGCTGACAACAGGCCAAAAAATATCAAAAACTCAAGTTATCCTTTGCTTCTAATCAGTAAATCTGCTATCTGCATTTGTTTGTGTGTATAGAGTTCGGTCTGATGAAGCGCAGTAATTTCTGCCTTATTCAGCCTTGTGGTTTTCATTCGGCATGCCTGTGAGTTGGCTCGCGGCTCAGAGCATGTGTGGGACACAGTCTCTAGACTGTTCTCTCTTTCAGGAGGAAATGTTTCCCTGGAGTCTGAGTGAAATATGCTTTTGTATAATAGGACAGAGGATGTATAAAAATGATATTCTGAAGCCTCAAAATTGAATGGTGGAAACATACACTAGGTTTATTCTTTATTTTTTCTTATGAAGAAAAGATGATGTGACAAATATGACAGAATTCACCACTAGTATAGATTGATTCTCAAGCGAGTGATTCTTGTGAACTGGTTCTTTTAAAGAATCAGTGAAAAAGACTCAAAAGTCATCGATTTGAAACAATCTAGCAAATTAGTTTTTGAAACATCAGAGCGTTTAATTAATTAACAGCTAACTTACTGACTGGATTTGGAGTTTTGTTAGATGGTTAAATAAAAAAAATAAAAATAATAAAAAATATATATGTATTGTTTGGTTTAGTTTGCAGTTAAAGGGTTAGTTCACCCAAAAAATTTGCCCACAAATTACTCACCCTCAAGTCATCCTAGGTGTTTATGAAAGTGTATGGGGGGGGGTGAACAAAGGCCTCCTGTAGCGAATCGGTGCATTTTTGTAAGAAAAATATCCATATTCAAAACGTAATAATAAAATAACAAACTTTAATGTAGCTTGCGCCAACAGTTGTACACGGAAGCAGCTCCGGGCTGATGACGTATGAGGTCAGCTTTGCGCATGCGCCGCTCAGAAGTGACGCATGCGGAAGCGCAGGGGAGAGATCAAAACAAAACACCGATCACTGTACAGAAGTACAAAACGAGGATTTGTAAAGAAGAATGTCGGAGGATTT